TCAAATAGCTTGGTATAAAATCAAGCTGCAGCAATGGAAAAAACACAAAATGAAAGCCTGTCGAATTCCCTTTCAAATGGTATGTACTTGTATGGTCCCAAGTGCCACGACATGGTCACATGAACCACTTGAATGAAAACTTAAAAAAAAAAAGTTGTCAGGCAACTCCTTCCACTAAGCTGCTGTTCTCCAGAGTTGCTTTTAAGGATACATGGGGTACACCAGTACAGGACTAGTCATTTAGCCAGCCAACTTCATGTTGCCTTCAAGAGGTTGCACACATTCTCAAAAATTAGGAGGTGGGAGGGAGAAGTGCAAAAAATTTAGCAGTCAATGATGAAAGACTGCAGGCCCCATATAAAAATTATTTATTGGGAGAGTAAATAATTATTTTAAAATATTAAGCTATTAAAAAGTATTTACTGGGAGAGTAAATAATTGAAAACAATTTGGTTTTTCTCAACTTATACCTAAATATTTTAAAATATTAAGCTATTAAAATTATTTATTGGGAGAGTAACCCTGCAACCCCCTTTTGGAAATGTGTGCACCCTTCTGAAGGCATACATCATGCAGTTCACTGGTTAAATGACTAGTCCTGCACCCATTCATCCTTAAAAACAGCTCAGGAGAGCAGCAGCTTAATGGAAGGAGTTGCCTGACAACTTTCTTTTTCTGTGAAAGTTTTCATTCAAACAGTTCTTGTGGCCATGCTGTGGCACTTCGAACATAAAACTATATACTGTACCATCTGAAAGGGAATTGAAAAGGCTTTCCTTTTTTTTCATTGCTGCAGCTCGATTTTCTAACTACTGTAGCTATTTCAAGTTTTAAAATTTATCACTTTTTTGTCCACCCTGTATATTCAAGGTATCCCCTTGAATATATGTTCTTGGCTGCAAATTGACTGATTGCCCATGCTTTGCTTTGCACTACACCTTTATCCATTTTTATCCTGGACTCTGTTGATGCCCAACACATCTTCTCTACCCAACCCAATGTACAAGTTGAAATAACTTACATAAATTAATAAATAAGCCACAACTGACTTGATACAGTAATGCACTGTACGTCAAAACTAACATTCTAATGCATGCCATAATGCATAATGGACCCAACATGGTACAGTACTATTTAAGTCATAACTAACCTAACCTCAAGAGATTAAATACGGCCAATATTGACACTTGGTTTTAGAAGCAATCTCTTGAGTGAAAAATCTCATAGCTGAACGAAAACTTCAACCCGAGAGGCAATAATTCACGTTCAAAGCCAACTTGATCGTAAAATACTACAAAGTACAACACTTCGAAATCCCAACGCTTTGGAAGAAAAAAATTGCAACAAAATAAAATGCACAAAAATCAACTCACTTATAACTATCAGGATCGATGGTGGTCATGTTCGGGAACCACTGGAAATCGTACAAAGCGTCACCAACGTCCATCTCACAAAATGGAGAACCCCAAGACGAACCAGACAGGGATAATTCTTGACCAGGATGCAAAGCTGGCGGAAGTTCAAATATTCGTAGTTTCATATCACCGGATCCAACCAGACAACACCATCCATCGGGAGACCTGGAAACAAAAAGTCGTCTTCAACACCATCAAAATGAATTTCTAGGGCATACTGATCTCAGAAAAAAATTCCAGATTTTCAAAGAAAAACTAAGCATCGGCGAAGTGAAATGTATCGACAAGTTCAGGAAGCGATGATGAACTTTCATGGCACTAAGATTAAAATACCAGTACGCTCTTCGCCTGTTTCAACTCCAGCCAGCATTGATTTCGCTTTCATGAGCAATGAATACCATTTGTCAAGCAACATTGATTGAATGAATCATTAATTAGTTGGACTAAGTTTCGTTAGGCTTCATCTTGAATTAGCCAATTCGTTGGGTACTGTTTTAAGTTGCGTTGAAATAATTTAGGTTCGGTTAAGGTTTGTTCGCTCAGGTTAGGTGACGCATGGGTTCGTAACGTTTAAAGTTGGGTGATTTAGATGCTAGATTAGATTCATGGGAGCCAAAAATGTTTTAGGTGCTCGACAAGATTATTCAGGAGTTAGATCGGGTTACCTAGGTGTTTATTATTAGTTCAATCAAGATTTCAGCAAGGGGAACTTCAATCTTAGTCAATCTGCTCAGGCTGTGTAAAAGTTAGTCAGGTTTCCAATGTGTCAGATAAGTTAGTTGGATATCAATTTAGGTTAGCTTAGATACTTTTTCGATTAGGTTAAACATGAGGAAAATATTTTTGTTGTTGGTTAAGTTGAAGTCACTAAATCAGGGCCTGAACCTTGAAAAACAGGATGGAGAGTTTCAGAAATACAGTATTGTAAATTACAATACAGTACTACAAATGAAATTGAGCGATCATATC